TGGCGGCCATGGCGGAGGCTTTTAAAGATGCGGTGGCGGCAAACCCCCACCTGAAGGCCTACATACGCCTTGAGGCGGTGAAGGACCGTGACCGTGGCCAATGTGCCCCTTAGGCGAAGGCCAAAATCACCTACTCAGATCCCCCAATTCTCGTCTTTGGCACTCCGGTGGCGCGGCGGTGTGCACAGTGGGCCAGAAGACCGGTGGAGGCGGCCAAAACTCCAGACGCGTTTTGAGCTCTAGAGTCGCTAAATGGGGCTGGCACGTTCGGTTCGAGTCCCATTTAGCGACTCTGGATCTCGAAATGCGTCTGGAGTTTTGGCCGCCTGCACTGGTCTTCTGGCCCACTGCGCGGCTTGTCAGGTCTGCTGAGCACGCGTCCGTCTGTCGACCTGATAAGGCGTCTACTGTACACATCTGACGTGCTCATATCGTCTCTTCGGCTCCCGAAGACGATCTTGACCGAACCAACAAAAGACATGAAGCAGCTGCTTCAGTTAGTGCCAGAGAACCCTTAATTTCTCTTTTTTAGGCACGAAGTAACCTTTGTAGTATACCCAGGATTCAGCCGGCCCGAGATTCAATTTGTGTGACCCTTTATGCATTTCGGAAATTTTCTATACGATTTTAATGAGATTTTGCAGACTTGTAGAACTTTGAACGCTGATTCTCATGCTGAAATCTGGTTAAAAAGTTGGTGGCCAATTTTGAGAAATTTGCTGTCAAAATCGCCGTTTCTATGGCAAAACTCGACTCGTCAAAGGAAAAAAACAGGAGTGGGGGGAGCCGAGCCGGGGCGGACCAATAGCCGAGCTTCTTTTTGGGTCTGTACAGCTTACTCCAAACGAAGTGATTATAGACACGCAGCGTTTATATAACTAGGGGTACGCGCCGTTTAGTCTGGGCGCGTAGTGTGGCTGAGCGATGCGAATTGACATGGTTTGTGCACTTTGGACTTTGCTTGAGAAGACGAAATGTGCATCTTAAGGACTCATATTCAGTGAACTTTAGACCAGGGGTACAAATGGAAGTGATTTTCGTTATCAGAACACCAAAAACTGCTGGGATCAATGCCAAACTCGATTTAAAAATTTTGGTCCAAAATGGGTTAAAATTCGGTTAAATGTGAGTCTGGGAAAAGTTTGAAGGTCATTTTTGAGTTCAGCACACCAAAAACTGCAGGAAACAATATAAAACTCGACTTGAAAATTTTGGTCCAAAATGACCTAATTTGGGATGAAAATATAAGTCTGGAGTCGAAATGAGAGTGATTTTCGTTATCAGCACACCAAAAACTGCTGGGATCAATGTCAAACTCGATTTAAAAATTTTGGTCCAAAATTGGTCAAAATTCGGGTAAGTGTGAGTCTGGGAAAATTTTGGAAGTCATTTTTGAGTTCAGCACACCAAAAACTGCAGGAAATAATATAAGACTCGACTTGAAAATTTTGGTCCAAAATGACCTCGTTTCGGATGAAAATATAAGTCTGATGTCTAAATGGAAGTGATTTTTGCTATCAGCACTCAAAAAACTGCAAGAATCAATGTGCAATTCAATTTAAAAAATTTGACCCAAAATCGGTTAAATTTTGGGTCTGGGGACAATTTAGAAGTCAATATTGAAGTCAGCGCACTGAAAACTGCAGGGAAACGCATGACTCTCAAATTAGAAAGTTTTGCCCCAAATTGCGTAGCTCTAGGTGAAAGTGTAGGTTTGGCATTGAAATAAATGTAGCTTTTGTGACTAGTACACTGAAATCTACAAACAACTATCTAGACTCAATTTCTGTACATTCCTACACTGTCTTCATGAAGCACCCTCTGTTATCACCAATTCCCTGATGCCACACCAATGTGAATCCCTCAGTCGAGTAACATTCAATTGCCAGCATTGAATCGCTTAATTGGTTACTCGTATGATTGGGTCACTATTCGATATCTCTTTTTTCTTAACTAATGAATTCTCAATTTTATAAGTAATATCTATGAAACATTTTGTCATTCTTTCATTGTGAACCAGTGAATAAAACAATATTGATTGGCATACGTTATCACAGTTAATATTAAGAGAGTCAGTTTAGGGTAGGCTGATCTGAACCAGTTAACGGGGACCAATTATTGTCAAATCCAGTGATTCGTCATATAGAGTCCAATGCCAAGGCTACCCAAGGCTTAATGAACCGACACAATTAATCTTACTCAGGTATGCAATACTGAGTAGTACCAGTTATATTAACTTCAGTGAAGTGAAAGGAATCGTCTCATTAAATCCATTCACTAATTCACTCACCGCTCAAAACCTGAGTCGTCTCTTTGAACCCAATATCAATTCAAACTCTATTAGGATTAAATATACACAACCATACATTGATTCTATTAATAAACACATGTTAGTACTTTTGCACTCTTGTCAGCTTGCAGCATTGCAATAGAATGTATTTCTCGAGTCCAAACTAAGTATGCCTGCTAATTTCAACACAAGTTATTTGCATTTCCCTGATTTCCTCTACTATGAGAATTAAAAAAAAGAGGATGACACTATAGAAAATGAAACAAGTAGATGCCCACAATACAAAAGGTCAAAATAAAAACATTCTTTTTACACTGCTCTGTCAAAGTGCACTGACCTGAAGAAGATTCCCCTCGAAAGGGGGAGGGGGGAGAGGGGAACGAAACACGTAAATCATTTTCACGGCCATTCTCCATATTTCGCTGTGTTGATACCCTAAAAGGGTTTTAATCATTCTAGAATGTGGAAAAACTATGGCCGATCTCATTTCCAAACCCTTCTGCTCGTTATTTTGTTTTATTTGCTTATTTGCTTCTGTCCCGTATTTGAGAGCCGCGGCCGCAGGTATGAGAAATTCGTGAGTGCTGAGTGCTGCCAACCTAACCATGCTAATAACCTGATTCAAAAGTATGTTTTGAATATTTCAAACGATACTAAACAACGATTTGAAACAAACTCGTGTTGGGGGGTACTAAGGTGACGTTAAATACGAAATCTTGAAACTATAGCTACTGTAGTTGCTGAGAATCGTTGGTGAGTACAAAGTCACAGACAGACTCACGACCAGTCACTTTTCAGCGCGCCCAAACACGGCAAGGGCTTCGCTATCGCTCAGCCAAATAAAAAGCAACTTAAATACACGCGGCGTGCAAATAACGCCATTTTCATTATATACACGCAGAAAAAGCTTTTCCAGCGTGTATATAATAAAAACAGCCGTTTTTTGCACGCAGCGTGTCTGCAAGCCCCCTAAAATTATTTGCACGCTGGAAAAGCTTTTCCGGCGTGTGTATAATAAAGGAGTGTGTTATTTTTACGCAGCGTGTTTGCAACTCCCTATTTTATTATTTGCACTCTTGTTTTGAGGCCAGCTAGGAGATAGAGATGCCTAGGAGGAAGCCGACCGGGTGTGTCGCCTCGTGGTCGAGTGGGTGCGTGCCTGCATGCCACTTTTTTTGGGCCCCGGGGTTTGAAACTTGGAGAATTTTTTCAAATGATGCGTGCACATAATTTTGTGGCATGCAAGGGACACGCTGCATTTAAATAATAAATTTTATATTGCGAACACGCGGTTTGTCCTTAACTTAGGTAATTCTTATGTGCACGCCAGAAATATTTTTCAGCGTGCTTATAATTTTTCTTTGTCTTAAAGAAACGCAGCGTGCGTTTTACATTAGTAAATCTTATACACACGCTACAAATATTTTTGCGGCGTGCTTATAATCCTTTTGCTTCGTACACAAACGCAGCGTGTTTGCAACCCTTAATTTTATTATTTGCACTATCGTTATTATGCCAGCTTGGAGATAGGCCGTGGAGGAAGCCGACCGGTTGTGTCGCCTCGTGGCCGAGTGGATACATGCCTGCATGCCACTCTTTTGGCAAGGGTTCGAAACTTGGAGAATTTTTTCAAAGGATGCGTGCACATAATTTTTCGGCGACACGCGACACGCAGCGTCTGCACAACCAACGATCTATTATTCATACGCCGCGTGTCCCTTGAATGCCGAAAAATTATGTGCACGCATCTTTTGAAAAAATTCTCCAAGTTTCGTACCCTTGCCAAAAGAGTGGCATGCAGGCACGTATCCACTAGACCACGAGGCGACACACCCGGTTGGCTTCCTCCTAGGCATCTCTCTCCGGGCTGGCCTCAAAACAAGAGTGCAAATAATAATATTGGGAGTTGCAAACACGCTGCGTAAAAATAACACCCTCCTTTATTATTGACACACCGGAAAAGCTTTTCCAGCGTTGGAAAAGATTTTCCAGCGTGCAAAAAATTTAAGAG